GGGGCCGAGTCGTGCGCCGCGAGACGGAGCGCACGGCGCGCGGGACCGGCCATGGAGCAGGACGCGGGTGCGGGGGGCCCGGCGCAGGACCCCGAGCCCGACCCCGAACCGGACGCGGGCTCCTCCGAGGCGTTCTCCAGACTCTGGGCCGACGTGATGGGCATCTTGGTGAGTGAGCCGGGGAGGGGGCGCTGGAGCGGGGCTCGCGTCGCGCCTCCCCCGCGGCACCCGCGTCCTACCCGAGGCGCCCCTCTGGGGCTGCAGGCCCTGGGGGGCTTAACTACACCCACAGTACGGGGTTCCCAGCCCTAGTTAATAAATAACCAGCCACTTTTCCTACCCAGGACACTTTTTAATAAACAATCGCGTGTTACTATTAGTAATTTAATCTGGGACACCTGCTGAGAAGTTGGTGCGGGGAAGCCAAGACTGAGTGCTTCAGAGAGTAGATGTGAAGCCTGCGTGTAAATATTTGTCGACGGGCGTCACGCTGTTGGATCTGAGAGGTGGATGGTCCTGATGTTGATCGTAGTCACCATTTGTTGTGTGTCCCCTGAGAGGAAAACAACCATTTCCTCCCTCGAACCGCCAGAATGTTTACTTACTGTTGCAGTTCTAGCCAATTTGTAGAATTACAGGATACTGTGTTTGTTTTATGTATCTAGGACTGAAAACAATAGGATTTATTTTGCCTAATCTGTACTGTCAAGTATCTTGAAGTATCGGGTGCCCAGAACCGCCAGTGGGCTTGGCGTGTTTCTGGAAAAGAGGTGTTACATGTGGATGAGGCAACTTTAACCTGCTCAGAGCTAAGCACCCTGGGGAATCAGTGGATGTCTTTTCTGGCGGAGCATTAGTTGGTTAGCTGGAATCAGACGGGGGTGGTGGGTGGGTAGTACAGTAGGATTATCTTCATCACAGAAAAGACAACTTCAGCATGCGATTTGGAATTGCCAGATGTGTAGGTAGTTGGAAAAGGCTCTCCATTAGCTTGGAGATACTGTTTTCTTTATCCAGTCGGAGGAGACATAGTTTTTGGTGTTTTTTTTTTTTTTTTTTTTTTTTTAGAATATTTTTGGGGATGATAACATGTTCAGTTTTTACCATGGTGATTTAAGCTCTTGGGTGATGAAGAGAGTTGGCCCTGGTCAACTCCATGGCCTCCCACTGGCTGTTGGCAGGGTTACTCAGCTCTTTTGATCTTGGGTTTGTGTTGTGTTTTGCTTGCTTTTTTGAGATAGGGTCTCACAATCTCAGACTGGCTCAAGATTGAGGGGCCTCAGCTCTCTGAATTCTGGGATGAAAACTGAGGATAAGATAGGACTTAGCCAAAGTGACGTATGATGGCTGCGTATAATAGATGCTCAAGTAAGGCAGTTCTGTTTGTTTTTTTTTTCCTGCCCATAGACTCCTGAGTGTGTCCTTGTCAGATACCCTCAGCTGAAATCCAAGTTATTTCATTTCTAGAGGTTCAGTAGTGTTTAGGATTATTGCAGTACAGAGAGAGAGAACCAGGAAAGTTAGGGTTTGTCTTTTCTTCTTACTCTCAGTATTTACAAGATATGTGATAAGCTATATATTTACCTTCAATATACATTTTGGATATGTATTTAGGATATGTACATTGCATCTATTTGGAATGCAAATGGTTCTGTTTCCGTATTTTCTGAATTTTTCTGGATAAATAAGTTCCTAGACTGAAATTCTAGAAAACCTAATGAACATTTTAGAGTCAGAGTGGTTATTTTTTTAGCCTCATCAAGCAAGAAACTTGTTATTTTCCTGCAGCAATCAAGCTCCGTAGGTTTTCAGTCACTGAGAATGCTGATTGATGGCATTGATAAATGGCACTGCACCCCTTATGAGGGTGAGGGTGTGGGTCGAAGGCGCACACTTAAAGGAAAAGTTGGGCTGAGGACTGTTTGGGGGAGGAGGGGTTGGCAGGTGGCACTTTCTGAATATTTGCTTTCCCTCCCTGGCGGATTCCAGCAATGTTGGGTCAGTTGTAGCAAAGTGTTCTTTGGCTGAGTCGAGAAATGGGGTGGGGCCCAAGAAGCTCAAACCTGTTATTCAAAGGGCAGATGCAGGAGTAAAAAAAATATGTACTTCTTACTCAGCTACCAGTTCAGTGTGAGGCCTACAAGAGCGAAGCGGTCCCGAAACAGGTTCTGTCCATTCATGCCTTCCCAGTCTTTAGGCAGTCCTGTTTACCTTGGGAGTGAACTTGGCTTTGCGATTGCAGTAAAATGCAGCGAAGGCAGACAGGACAGACTTCCTGTTTACACTGCAGTAAGACCCCAAGTGGGGAGGGTGGTCTTCTACCGCTAGGAAACTGTCAGGCAAATACTTATAAATACTGGAGCTTTGGCAGAATATATCGAGACTCAGAACTGATGGTTGACACAATTTCCATCATTTTATGTTTCAAATGTTGTCTCTGCAGTCGCCTTCAGCCTGGACAGGTGGAGAGATTGGCTCGTAGCACACTTCCGGCTAGTGGCACCGTCAGAGCCTGATGCTGTGACTAGTTAGCAAACTCTCTTAGGCCACCTCAGTGGGAATGGAGCCTTGTCAGTAGCCAGGAGGTGTAGTGCAGGCTTTATACCTAGATACAGTGTTATTACTTTCTAAGATTCTAAATGTGGGGGCTGGGCTTTATAGCCTAGTAGGTCAGAAGGTCTGCAGGTGCTAAGCAGTAAGAGGCGTAGGACCCTCAAGGATTTTTCTTTTCTAATTTTTGAGACAGGATCTTGTGTTCAGACTGACCTCAGACAGCTCCTCCTGCCTCAGCCTCTAGAAAGTAAGGATTACTGGTCTGTGTCACCACACCCATTTACCCCAGGGAGCAGAAAAGATTCTGTTGTCACAGAATCTTGGTTTGAGTTCACCAGGACACATTTTGTATTTAAATTAAGTAGGTCCTCACACTGTTAAAAACACTGAATAGTTGCTTTCAGATAATTTTTTAATAAGTGCTTAGAGAAGAAATAATGTAGTTTACAGCCTGTGAATATTTTCACCCTAAGCGCTAATAAATCCATAGTAAATAGATGTGGAATGAAGAGAAAACAAGCTTACAAAGATGCTAGATTGCGAGTCCCTGGAGGGCAGAGTCGGTATCTCATTTATTTTCTATCTGCAGTGCCTGTGGCTTACTGGATATAGATAACACCATTTGTTGAATGCGAAAGGAAAAAAGTATGTTTTTCAACGCTGGAGTGTCATCCAGACACTGTTCAGAGCCCATGTACCCCGGAGGGGGTACACTTGTGCAGATGTGGAAGGGCTCGTTGGGCAGTGTCCTGGCGCACCTGCCTGGCGGTGGTAGATTGTGAAATGTGTATGAGTCCAGCGCAGTTAAGCCATGGGGAAGTGTGAAGGGAAATTGTACCCTGAGCTGAGATGGAGAAGAGGGAGGAG